TAATTAGAATTTCAGCGCAGACACACTTCACGCGCGCCTGTGTCGCCAACTCAAAGCACTATTTAAGGCTTAGAGATTTCGGTGATTTTAAATTCGGCAATTGTGATTTTCTTGTGGTTTTCTTAAAAACCAATCAGTTATATCTCGTAGAAAACAACGATCAGATTCTGATCAAGTATCCGAGTTCGACGCAGGAAAGATAGTGGCCTACCGAGATTGTGGATTCTCTTTCAGGTAAATCGGTAGTCGAGTTGGACGAAACCAAAACACTGCATTACGGATATGTGACCTTCGGATGCGGGAGGGTACAACAGATCGACATGGTCGATCGCATCCACCTCAATGCACCACTTCACGTGAACACAGACAAATTGTGCGCATGGCAATGACGGATCGCTCAGTCACATCACGAACCGTGGCACAGCACATTGAGTCTGTAACACATCATTATGTGTCTGCGCGTACCATTCGACGCCGTTTACAGCAGAGTGGTATGATCGCAAGACGTGCATTGCTTGGACTACCCTTGACGCAGAGCCACAAACGTCTGCACCGCCAATGGTGTGATGAAAGAAAGATGTGGGCGGTAGAATGGAATGAAGTTGTCTTTACTAACGAGTCACGCAACTGTCATCACACCACGATGGCCGGATTCGACTTTGGAGACACCGTGGAGAGAGGATGCTGAACAGCTGCGTTATGCACCGCCACACTGGTCCTGCACCGGGTGTTATGGTATGGGGCGGTATTCGTTATTACTCTCGCTGCTCTCCTCTAGTACGCATTGCCAAAACTTTAAACAGTCATTGCTACATCTCCGAGGTGTTGGAGCTGGTGGTCCTTCCTTACATTCAGGGGCTTCGCCACATGCATATTTCAACAGGTTAATGCACGACCACACGTGGTACTCATTGTCCAAAGGTTCTTCGTCAATCACCAGGTTGAATTGCTTCCCTGGCCGGCTCGCTCTCCAGATCTTTCGCCGATAGAAAACATGTGGCCCTTGTTTGCTCAACTATTGACCCTGATTACACCCCCAGCTTCCACACCAGATCAACTTTGGCAAATTGTGGAAGCTGCTTTGTCTGCTGTACCCCAAGAACACATCCAAAGTTTCTTTGAATCAATGCCGAGGCGTCTGGCTACTGATTCTGGCAGGAACCACACCTCACAGAAGTCTATAAATTTATTCATTTGATACTTGGTCAACATGTTATCTACAAAATAAATTTTGATATGCTATCTTTTGTCTTTCTTGGTGTTGTATTTACGGTGGCCAGCAGTGTATATAAAACAAATACAAAGACCAATGGTAAGGTTAAGTTACTAAAATGTTGTCCAATGCATAACTACACACTAATTTGAAAAGAATAGTAGCGTGGAGAATATTTTAAGAATGCGAAAACGGATATTATTTCTCAGTTCACTTTAACAAGCAGGAATCTGTGTTTTCTCAAGCTGCTATCTATTTTTATAGATACCAGGAATAGGACGAATGTTTTGACTCCCATACTGTAGTCATAAAACTTGCAATTTGAGCGCTCAGTTTAACACTGTCCCTTGGGCTACTCATGGGGCTAATCATAATTAGGTTAATGTCACCATTGAACTGACCATTAGTTTTATCACTTTGTGGGCATTTTGGAGACATTATATTCCTAATACGAGGATATTGTAGTTCTCAACATTTTTCTGCACGATCTCTGTTAGATATCTTGTCTTTTGAAAGATATTACAGTCACGGATATTTGTTATATATATATATATATATATATATATATATATATATATATATATATATATATAAACAAAAAGAAAGAAAGCTTACAAAAACATTATTGTTCATATTATAATAATCATAGATATTAAAGATATCATTCATTAATAATTTATTCTTCAAGGACTTTCGAAGCTGAAAGAAAAATTACTATTCATCTTAGCTTATTCTGTAAAATTGTGGTACATTTGTTGCACCGCATGTTTTCTCATTTTCACTGACTGAGGTACATTTGCTCTACCAGGTAATTAAGCGTCTCCTTATATTTTTTCAGCAAAAATATAGAGAAGATCTCTTGAAATTGCAATTTTATTGCAACCGCTGTAAATACGAAGAAAATTAACGTACATCATATGTATCATCGAATATCAAATGCCAATTCAAAACAAAATTTAATCATCAAATTTTGAATGTCTGCTTCAAGTTCTTGCTAAATATTTTCTTTAAATTAAAAAGAAACACGTTTGAAAATTGCTGAATCCTGAAAAAAAGAAGAAAGTTTAGTGTTTATAAGGAACATTACCAAGACAACATCATTTATACTTTTTTACATGGGACGAAATACAGATAATTTTTCGGTACATTTTTATCTGTTTTAAGACATTTAAATAGTTTTATCTTACCACTTAATCGAAACACTTTTAGATGAATTTTATTACAAACATTTTTCAAAAAGAAAACCGTCCAATTCGTCGATAAATTTGTATTGGAGCATCTTTTGCAGTAGTAAAACTTTCTCTATTATAAAAGTGAGCTTTATTAAAATAGATATGAGACAATATCATTAATGACTCTTTCTCTTTGCATTAAACAATATAAAGAAAATAACTAGATTTAGAGACTTTTATAGAGATATTTGGAAAGAGAATATATCTTAATGATTCTCATGCACAAAGAGAATGCGAAAAATATCATTAAATCTAGATGCATTTCCCCTATTTAAATATTTCATTATAAAGCACTCATTAAAATGAAACTTGATGAAAATTTTACATGAATACAGAAAGAATTTTTGATGTATCCATTAAAAAGTTTCAATTGCTCTTGAAATTGAACTTTAATTATCACAAGCGTTTTCAGTTGGTTTATTTCAAAACAGTTTTTAGTCATGCATATGAATTTTTGCATTTAATGTGGAAGTTATTAATAATAACTTCCTTAAAATGTGGCGAAAGATTGTCATAGAAAAACTCTGCTCTGAGAGGAGCAAATAGTTTATTCATTTTTTTTCTACTTTAAATGCATGGTGTCATTATAAAAAGCTAAAAATACTAACGATCTTTAAAACATTTTATTTCTCATTCTATTTCTATTCCAAAAGGCTTGTGTATATTATTTGATTTAATCCGCTGTCATCTATTAAAAAACATTAAAAAAAGTAACTAAAATGTCTGCAGAATATTTATCACATACATATTTTTATTTTTTGTTCAATATTGCAGTTCTTTGCATCCGGTTCAGATAAGTTTCGCCTACTATTATAAAGATTTGGCGAACTTATCGAACTATATTTTTGGCAGAAAAATGATGAGGAATGAATGGGCTTCAAGACGTTTGTTGTGCATTGAAACGATCACGATTCATTGTTTGGGATTATTTTGGAATCTAGATAGCTTGGAATAATAGATATACCGATTAAGCAAAAAAAGAAGTGTGTTTACTTATGTACGCACGTAAGAAGTTATACTTCTTTGGCGTAACAAGATTAAAATATTTCTAAAAATTTTGAGCTGGGAAATCTGGGCCAAGGACGAAAGACGGTTACGAGGAAAGTTGAACGTTACTAACCTTCAGTCAATCGGATCTCAGCCAAACCCGAGATAATCACGATTTAAATAAATTTAAACACCCCCGCACAGGGACAATAGGACCAATAACATGGGTCGGGGGTTCGGCAGACTGTATCTGGAGATGAGTGGAACCGAATGTGACACCTGGGAACTCACATTGAATGTCTCGTCGGGAAGAATTGTTCCTGAGAAAATTAAGACCTCCTCCTGAAGAGCCCCCGAGTTATGGTCTTTTTAAAATAATTAAAACATTTAAAACAATTAAATAAAATAGAAGCAGGGTGCCCAGCAACTCAAAACTGGGTCTGACTGTGAGAAAACACTAAAGGAATTAATTTGAACCGGTCCGGAGTCTGTAGTTGCAAATGGGGTGGTGCTAGCTCGGGAAAGGGAAATGAAACTAACTCCCCGGAGGTGGAAAACTCTGACGTAAATGGTCACGTACAGCCCAACGATATACAGAGTAGTAGGTGATCAAAAATTTTCATCCTTCTATTTCTGTAATATCGTGACGTCATCAAACGATCGAACCCCATAGGAATAACATGGGGATTCTAATTTTAGTGATAACGCCCCCTAAGCCTACTGTCAACACAAGATTTAAAATAGATGAAACAGGTAAACGAGGAGAACCAATGGTCCGAGTTTTAGTAACGAATCTCAAAAATCCTTGGAACTATGCGGGATTTAAAAAAAATTATTACTTTAAAATAATTTTAAAATGTTAAATATAGAGAGGAAGAAATGAGGCTATGGTCCTGAAAAAAATATATCTAGGGTGCTCTTAGGAAGAATAATCAAAACCAGCCGGTGCGGTTGACCAAGGTGGCACATGATTCAAGTTATTTCTGAGGAAGAGCTGTAGGGGGGAGGGGGCCAATTCCACGTAATACTCGCGCTAATACAAAAATATGGTGGACCACCAAAAATAAAGTTCCAAGCTCAGTTCCTTAAGGGGTGAAATTTTTTCCAGTCCCCATAGGATTAACATGGGAGCATGATATTTTAGTGCTTAAGCCCTTCCCATACTTACACAATGTCCGAGACTCGAACAGGAGCCAAGATATTGTGAATTTAAACAAATTAAAAATTTTAAGACAGCTAAAAATTATGGAAGAAATAGCCCTATGAGCACACACACACACATACAACATACTGACGCATGAAATTATAATAGCTGGAAGAGCAGATAGAAAGGGATTGAATGAGCCAGGTGCGAATGGACTGTGAGGCTCGGGTGCCGAGATATTGGCCAAAAAGCTGTAGAGAGGGGGATGCACAGGGGGGATGCGTCTCAACGGATACGGGTTATAAGAATAGTTATTATGATCCCCCAAATATCAGTCCCATATCATCAAAAAAGTGGCATGATAAAATATTATACAACGGAATGCGCACATCGGTGTCATGAAGGTATGCGCGTGCTTCGTGACGGTGTGTAGCTCAGTGGTAGAGCATTCGACTACAGATCGAGAGGTCCCCGGTTAGAACTCGGGTGCCACCTTTTTCAGGGAAGTGAAGAGAAATTTTTTTTTCAGAATTTCGAAGGTGGGAATGATCAGTCCCGTTATGCATATTTCTAGGCAAAACATTTTTGTATCCCTTCCTACGGAACGTAAAGCAAAGGTTCGCTGACGCGGCAGTATAGCTCACTGGTAGAACATTTGACTGCTGATCATGAGGTCTCCGGTTCAAACCTGGGCTCCCCCAGGGAAGTGAAGCGAAATATTTTTCTACGAATTTTGAAGGCTGGAATGATCGGTCTCGTTCTGTATATTTCTAGACAAAGCATTTTTCGCCTCCTCAATGGTGTGCGTCCCATCCGTGCCTGTTTTGCGTCACATTTGTGACCGTTTACACGCGCATCGTAAAAACGTACCTCATCCTTTTTGCCTAACGCCCCAAAAGAAGTATAACTTCAAAAAACTATCAATTGAACCAAGCTGCATTTAGAGAAACACTTAAGAATAACTGTTCTTTTATAGTATCGCAAACTATTGACGACATTTTAAGAAACGAAACCTGTATTTGTCAATTCAGCACGTACTATTTATGGGAAATCGGGATATCCAACTTGGCGAGTTATTAATAGAGATGGCTATTGTGGCGATAATACCTAAGAACCAGAATAATATACGCTTTAAAGAAAGGTAATCTGATTGTATTTTGTATTAACATCACACTTTGAAGTTATATGCAAACTATTGGTGACAAACCTGATAAATATTTTAAGGATATCTTTCAAGTGTCACCTTACAATGTTAAAAAATCTTTGTAAGGTTACACCTGATCTGGCACCGAATTCTTTTAATTACCACACCATGTCAATGGGGAGGTTCTACTGATTCAACATGAATCAGGTCTTCTGTAAAAAAAGTCTTCAGTGATATTATGATTTGACCCCGCGACGATAACTCTGGGCAAGAATTTGTGACTGTATCCATTTGTCTAATGCGTCATACTTGGAAAATTTAATCAAACTGATAAATAATCACATAAGAGATAATTAAAGACAACACTTTGCTTAAATATAAGAGAAAAAGTACTTGACGGTCCAGATATTTGTCACTTAGCTTTTTTTTTACTGATTGCTAGGATTTATACAATTTAATTTAAGGTAGTTCAGACCAATGAGGATTACTGTTCTACTTATTCCCTTCCAAACAGTGATTTTTTTTCAGTTTTCAACATAATGTGCATTTTGTCTCCTACATGGTTATGCTAAATTGATTTTTAACATGTATTGCAAAAAATTGTTTTCTTGTGTATTTTTTTAAAACTTTAAGCATATCTACTAATATTGATATTTTTTTCTAAATATGAAAAATAACCCCAGCTTAAACCATCTTTAGACCAAAATATATATTCAGACCACCATATATATATATATATATATATATATATATATATTATTATTATATAATTATTATTATTATTATTATTATTAACTGCAGGAATAACTATTCACATTAATTGTCCCAAACTTAACAATCAAAGTATTCTTATTTTCGTAGCTATAAGAAACAGTATTTATCATTTCAAACACACACATACATATTTTTTTTAACAATAGCATATTCTAGCATTATATCTAGAACTTAAAGCCTATTTTTTTGTTTTAAATTATCTTATCCAATACTCCTATACTAAACAATTCTGTGTTTATTGTTATTCTAAGCATTTAACTTAATACATTCATTTTGATTTCACCATCAGATACCCTAGAATCTTGAAGCAACATCTCTTCTAATTTGTAATTTATACTATAAGTACTTTTCAGAATTCGAAAGTGTCTCTGTGAGAATGCTAATCCTTTACGAAGTTTCATTTCAGTTCGCTTTCGAGCAACTAAACTATCTTTCAAGAATGGATTTTCCAGATACGGAGACTCATCTCTAATTAAATTTAGGGCGGTCTTAAACTTTCCTTTGTCTGGAATTCTCCAATAGTCCTGGGATCTGTTTCAAAGGCATTTGTCCAACTGTAACGGATTTTAGGAACAAAACGCATTTGACGACAAATCGAATAGCAGCATGGTTCAGAGGAACCATGGTCTAAGAAGTGTACGCTTATACTTGAATATGTTCTATCTTAATGCCTGATTTGAAAAGTTCATCAGAACTTATAACCTTCATTAAGTTAAATTTTGCACTTTCAATCACGACCATCGTAAAAGTCAGATGAAATTATCCTTTTTAGTCTTGTTTATCTAATACTACAGAACGAAAATTTATTTTATTTTTTAAATGATTTAAAGTACTCAGATTTATTAAATATTATAATTGACATAAAGCATTGAGTGTGAAATGTTATGTTTTTACCATATTTGTATTTTTTATATGAACATAAAATTGTACTTGGAAAAAAATGGGACGTTGATCACACATTAAACATAAGAATAGAGAAAAAAGTTTCATTTAGGATTATGTCATGTATATACTTGGTAATATTTTAGCATAGCATATAATTAAAAACAATAATTATACACCGAAACGAATGCGATTTTCTTAAGAAAATTATACTTTAAACTATAACAAAAAGTACGTCTGAATATTGTTTGCTGATTTCATTGGTAAAATTGTGATAAAATGACCCAACGACTTAAACTGATAAGGAATAAACATAAATATTATGTACAAAATATTTTTTTTCAGAGTAAATTTCTAGATACTCAAAATAAAAAAATACTTAAAATAACAAATACACGATCATAATATACAATCACAACATTTATTTTAAAATTCTCTTAAGGTATCCGACTACGATCGGAACCGTGATTTTAAAAAAAGCGCATAAATGAATAATTTTCATAATATTTAGTGTCACTCACATTAGAATACATGCGTAAAATTGTGTTAAGGATATTTTGACAAAAAAAAATTTATTTAAATATAATATTTTGGCAAAAAATTAACTTAGAATAATCGTTTTTCCAATTGTTCTCCTTTTGCGAAAAATGGTTCTATTATAATAATTATTTGCCTGCATCTTCAGACGAATCTACAGAGCCTCAACTAGATTTTTTGATAAATTCACATTATTTTCATAGTTACCACCAATTGAAAAACTTATTCGCGTTTTTTTCATAAAATTGCTCCCCTCTTTTGTTGTAAAATATGAATAAACCCACTTCTAAGTTATATATTTCAAAAATTCTTGTTGAGCGTCTGAAAAGAGGTCTGCGCTGTATACAGGCCAAATATTATTATAATTGAAGCATTTTTCACAAAAGGAGAACATTTTGTAAAAAAAGATTATTCTAAGTTAATTTTTTGCCAAAATATTGTATTTAAATAAATTTTTTTGTCAAAATGCTCTTAAAACAATTTTATGCATATATTCTAATATAAGTGACACTAAATATCATGAAAATTATCCATTTATGCGCTTTTGAAAATTACGATTCCAAACGCAGTCGGATACCTCAAAAGTAAAAAATTAGGTGAATAAGTGAGAGCTATATATATTAAGGCCTCAACTACAAAACTGCTTAAGGGCTATTGGCGACGGAATTGGTAATTTTGACCCATGGTCAAGTGAAGCGGATAGCACCTAAACTGGCTAATTTACACACGAACGGAAAGGCTTTGAACCTCCCAATACTTGGTAGGTCTTCAACGGCATTAGGCTCGAACTTATGACACACCACCTACGAGTCCATGACCTTTGCCACTAAACTACCCAGTCACGAAACTGAGATTAAGCAGCATACTTTGACCAAATCAATCAATTTAATAATCAAAAATTCTCATTAATATTTTAAAATTAGCGAATAACTAATTATTCTTCGATCTTTATTTGCTTTTCATTAGTATGTTTCACAATGCTCTATTTTCTACATTTCTGGATAATGCATATTAATGAGTCTTACGGCTATTATTACTTAATTAGATACAAAAATATAAAAAGCCATAAAATGACGTTATGTTAGACTGATTTTGTTTCCAAGCAGCAAATAAAGCATACCTTCCACAATTTTGAAAGTAATTCGCTCTTTATGTTTAGGACAGAATAAAACATAAATGAATATACTGAGTAAATTACTAATTATATGCATGATAGCTTTCCATTGGTTTCGCTGGAGTTAGATTTCGATTACATTAAAAGTAACATTTTCTTAATTTATTCTCTGGTTAGGAAATAATCATAAGCATAGCTATGCTTTTTAATTGTTTTTTTAAATAGTTTTCTCTCAACGCATTTAGTTTTGTTGAAAACTGCTGGATATAAAATACAAGTGATGATAAAAACAAATTAAGCGGATCACTATATTTTGTTTATTGTAATAACTTCATAAATACTTAAATACAAAAGGGATGTTTAAAATGTATTCCGTTGTGAACTTCGATGCAAATTTGAATAAAAACTACGATCAAGATTATTTTTAATTGAATACTAATCATTGTATAATTCTCAAATTTCAAATTAAAAATTTGAGGGTTTATACAGTAATATCTATATTTATGGGTGTATTATGCTATTAAAAAAGTAAAGTACTTATGAATGTAGAGTTACTTAGACGTTGACAAATCATTCAAAATACTTCAAATAAAACTTAAAGGAAGTATGTATTATATTTATGTATCAAGTACTAAAATTAACAGCTTTGAAATTTAAGTAAATATTTAAAATTATCTTAAAAACAACAACGATGATTCCATTTATGTTAACATCTTCGTTGACATGTTTTTAAAATTTGTAATTTATGCATGGATGCTGCAGATTACAATGTATTTCTAAGTATTCCTTAGTTAATAGTAATCTTTTGAAACAGACGACGCATGTATAAAAATTTAATTGATAAATTAAGATTTTACTCATTCTACCTAAACTAAAAAAATATTGCATTAAAAATATCGTAATAAAATTTGGGTACACTTTTTAAAAGTTTCCAGTGAATCCAGAAAATGAAGGTAATACATGCGTTTTTCAGGCATTCAAGTCTGCATCAAAAATGCATTTTAAGCAATAAACTCTTTTAAATTTAAAGTATTTATTAAGAAT